GTTTAACTCCCAGCTCCTCCTCCTGATTCCAGTTTCCTGCTAATGTAGATTCTGGAAGGCAGTTAATGGCTCCAGGAGCTGGGTCTGCCACTCATGTGGGAGACCTGGATTGAGTGCCTGGCTCCCAAATTCATCCCTTGATTCAGGGTTAATATGGGCATTTGGGGAGTGAACCACCACCCGATGGGAGCCTCCACCCCCACTTATGTTTCTTGGATAATTTTTTTAAGATTTATTTGTTTATTTGAAAGGTAGAGTTAGAGAGAGACAGATCTTCCATCTGTTGGTTCATTCCCCAAATGGCTACAACAGCCAGGGCTGGGCTGATATGAAGCCAGGAGCCAGGAGCCAGGAGCCAGGAGCTTCTTCTATGTCATCCACATGGGTGCAGGGGCACAAGGACTTGGGTTATTTTCTGCTACTTTCCCAGGCACACTAACAGGGAACAAGACAGGAAGTCTAGCAGCTGGGATATGAACCACCACCCATATTTTTTTTTTTTTCCTTCATACTACTTGTTGAATTCTTCACTTAGTATAGGATTAATCTTAAGAGTATAAGGTAAACTGAAAATAGATCTTTGTAAAACTTATGAGGGGGAGTAGGAGAAGGAGGAGAAAGAAGGGTGGGTGGAGGGTAGGATGGGAAGTATCACTATGTTCCTAAATCTGTATTTATGAAATACATGAAATTTGTATACCTCATTTGCATACCTTAAATGAAATTTAAAAAAATAAAGAAACTTTTCATTCTGCTTGTGAATATCTTTTTCCCATATCACTTGTTAAAAAGATTGTTTTTTCTCTGTTGCATATTCCTGATCCTTTTATATAAAATAAATTAACAATACATAAAATAATATCAAACAATCTGTATAGGATCAGCTACTAGTAGATTCTCATTGGCAACAATAATGCCAGAAGAAAATGGAATACCAGAGTGAAAATAAAATAATGACATTTTCAGATACATGAACACCAAGAAAGTGTTCTATTTATGCACTCTTCCTAAAAGATCTATCAGAGAATATTCTTCAGCAAGAAGACAATGAAACCCTGAAGGAAGGAGGGAAAATAAGTCAATTACAGGCAAACAAAAATAAAACATTTTGGCATATTTAATGAGTAACAACTGCTTTCATGATTAATTTCAAGGTGGGACTAAAATGCAGAAGAAAAATAATAATGTGGAAAATGTAAAAGTAAACTCCAAAAAGAGCTACTGGACGCATGATGGAATTCCCTTTCCCACCAGAGAACAGGTCCACCTCCTGGAAACTGAGTAACTGTCTACCATATATGTTGGTTCCATAGAAAGCTGCATATTGCAGTCTGGTTTTTTAAATCCTTCCTCATATTGAAATATTTATGTCTATTCATTTTTTGTCCAGTAATTATGGTCAGCTTCCTTTTTTACTTTTACTTTTGCTTTATAAGGAGAATTACTTATAAATCCTTCATACTTCACCAAAATGTTTGATTATAGATGATTTTAAACCAAGGTTTAAAATAAATATCTACTTCCAGTAGAGAAATCAGTCAGAAATGAAGACATCAGAGCTCCGATATTATAACATGAAAACACAATGTAATTTACCTGGTCTTTAGAGCCACACATAAATATTGCATATTATATACCTTTTTCTGTGAATCTTGATTTCTAGCTTGATAACATTGAATTTTACACTAATGATTTCTGCTTGCAAATCTATAATTATAGAATTTTCCTAAAAACACATTCTTGTAAATAGCTATACAGAACTTAAGCAATGATGTCTACCCCTACAGGCATCAAATAATCAGCAAAGCTCATACAAAATAATTAAAATATCTGCCTGCTGTATATTTAGTGTATTATGTATCAAATTTGTGTGCTAATTTGTTTGGGTATGAAATATGTCACATTACCATGCCCTTGAAAGTCCTTGTGCTCTGCAGTCACTGTTATGGCACAGCCTCGTAACATTCCTTAGCAGGTATGTGACATTAAAAACATTTTTTTAAAAATAATACAAGTGGCCCAAATTTTTATCTAAGTATGTGAGTTATAATGCCAAAGCACAATTTTCTTAATAGTTAATAAATATATGTGCTTAACAAAGATAAATTAATGGACGATTTTCAATTAGAGTTTGAGTTGTTGATTTCGAGCTATGGTGTTATAATACTTTTGGTATAAACAAAATGTGTAAACAAAAACTGATTAGTCATTTTGTTGTTGGCTATCTGAACTTCATATTCATCATCTTGTCCTAGAATTAATGTGTGTCTTCCTTGGTTACTGATTCAATAAATATATTTTGGATATTTCTGTTTTTATTAATTTTACTATTCAGAATATTAAATGGTTTATATTTTTCAGTTATGATATTACTTACCAGAATGCCTGACTTACAAAATATTAGTTTACTACATTTCAGTTTCCAGTTAATTTTCCTAAGGCATTTGAAGTTATAGCCATTTAATGGAGTTTCGGCATAACTATCCTATAGCATATGAGCCCACAGTGCATAAATGCCTCTGTACTCTCCTAGAAATAAAATTTTACTTGGTATCTCAAATCATTCCGTAATATGATACTGTTCAACTAATTGGCTCACTACAGTCAATTAAGCGGGATATTCCTTACAAAGAGAAATCTGTTAAAACATAATTGTGGTTGAGCCCATCATTAAAATGCTCAAGACTGACAACAGCACTAGCACAATTTCAGTTGAAGCCATCAACATTCCCCTGGAAGATATTACTTATAGTGTGTATTTTTGCTCTTTCTAAAAGAATACTAATATGGTAGTAACAGAGTTTTGACAAGGTTGTCATTTTGAAGTCAGATGTGTAAGTAATCCATGAGCTTTCTTTGTAGCTAATTGGGAAACAAACAGGACATGTAATTCAGATTCTCACTCTTCAGGGAACTTGGAGATAAACTGAAAACTAGATATAATCTAATCATAGAGTTTCTCAAACTTGAGCGATCATCTATCTAGTCAAGTCACTTTCATCTGAGAAGGAACAAACTGAAATCATCCTTCCATGATTGCTACATAAACCCTTTTTTAGACACCATCAGTTAGCTTAGCAACACAAAGCAATGTTTATAACTGTCATTGTTGGCAAAGTCATCCTTACATCTGCATACCTCAAGTTGCAGAGAATGGCCTGTGCCATGCCATGGCTCACTTGGCTAATCCTCCGCCTGAGGTGCCAGCACCCCGGGTTCTAGTCCCAGTTGGGGCGCCGGATTCTGTCCCAGTTGCTCCTCTTCCAGTCCAGCTCTCTGCTGTGGCCTGGGAAGGCAGTGGAGGATGGCCCAAGTCCTTGGGGCCTGCACCCACACTGGAGACCAGGAGAAGCACCTGGCTCCTGGCTTCAGTTCGGCACAGCGCGCCAGCCGCAGCACACCAGCCATGGCGGCCACTTGGGGGGTGAATCAACGGAAAAGGAAGACCTTTCTCTCTGTCTCTCTCTCTCACTGTCTAACCTTGCCTGTCCAAAAAAAAAAAAAAAAGTTGCAGAGAAAACATTTATAGTCTTGGTCTATCCTTTTTTTTTCTTCAAGATTTATTTATTTATTTGAAAGGTGGAATTACAGAGAGGAAGAGGCAGACAGAAAGACAGGTCTTCCATCCACTGGTCCACTCCTCAGATGGCTGCAATGGCCAGAGCTGTGCAGATGTGAAGCCAGGAGCCAGGAACTTCTTCTGGGTCTCTTACATGGGTGCAGGGGCCCAAGGACTTGGGCCATCTTCTGCTGCTTTCCCAGGCCACAGCAGAGAGCTGGATTGGAAGTAGAGCAGCCACACTCAAGTCGGCACCCATATGGGATGCCAGCACTGCAGGCAGCGGCTTTATCTGCCACACCACAGCACCAGCCCCAGTCTATTTTTTCTAAACTGAAGAGAATCCCTGTTGCTTTTGGTTTTATCCTCCAGGTTTCCTTCTAAGTATGTTAGTTATTTTTATGATTCTGTATTAAAATTTAATGCAGTCTATATTCCACTTACTGTGTGAAGACCAAATTGGACAAAAGGCTCATAAAAATATGTTTAAGAGAAGGTTGAATAAAACAGAATTTCCCGTGACTCTTGCCACTGCTTGATATGTGTGTAGATATTTGTGTTTGTATACACATTTTAAATTATCTAGATTTTTTTCATTGTAATTAAATTTTAAATTTGTTCTCCTCACCATCTAAGTTACCATTTTTTACACTGGAAATTTGTTTAACAAAAATAAATCTACGGAGTGGGCATTCGGCTCAACCATTAAGATACCACTTGTGGGGCTGCCATTGTGACATAGTGGGTTAAGTAGTCGCCTGTGATGCTAAAATTCGAATATGGTCATGGGTTCATGTGGCTGCTCCACTTCCAATCCAGCTCCCTGCTAATGGCCTAGGAAAAGCAGCAAAAGATGGCCCAGGTGCTTGTGCCACTGCCACTCACACGGGAGACCCAAATGAAGCTCTTGGCTCCTGGCTTTGATCTGGATCAGTCCTGGCTATTGCAGCCATCTGGGGAGTGAACCAGCAGATGGAGGATTGGAGGATCTCTCCTCTCTCTTTTTCTGTAACTCTCACTTTCATCTTATCAATAAATAAACAAACAAGCAACTAAATAAAAAAAAAAAAAAAAGGATACCTTGAGACATCCAATTCCACATTGGAATGCCTGGTTGAAGTCCCAGATTCATCTAGCTTCTTGTTAATATACCCAGTGGAAACAGCAGGTCTTGGTTTAAGAATTTGATTGCCTATGGGTATATAGGGTACCTGAATTGCATTCCAGGCTCAGGACTTAGACCTTGCCCATCCCTGGTTGTTTGGAGGATCTGGAAGTGAATCAGTGGATGGAAAAGCTTGATCCCTCTGTCTCTTTCTACCTATTTTCCCACCCCCACCCTCATCTTTCAGGTAAAATGGAAATTAACAAACTTAAAAATTTTATGGAACTAATTTTTATATGAAGCATTACAATGATTTCTTGAGAAATCTGAACTTACCTGAGGCGTGAAGGTGGCATCATTGATAGAATGCATGTGACCATAAAGTGACTGCTCACATTTACCCTAAGAGCAGAAAACAGAAATAAAATCAAATACCTTCTATGGTGATACACAAAAAGGCATTGAAAGATACATTTTTCAAAGTTATTTATTTATTGCCCCCCAGTAATACATTCTCACAATAGAAAATAGAAGCCTTTTCTATTAACTAGCATTCAGAATCAGACAGGGTTATCCTCAGTGAGCGCGCCACAGGACTGGTAACTATATCAAAACTCTGCTGTTCTTACTTTTACATCATTGAACTGGGAGTGAACTCTCATCAAGTTGATTCATTTCATATTTCGCATTGTTTTCAAACTCTGGGAACGTGCACTGAAATCCCTTTTAGAAAAAATTGTTTTCTAGCATCGTTTTTCCACCACTGCTGGGGATGGGGGCAAGGTTCTGTTTTATAATTTTTATTTATTTATTTATTTGAGAAGCAGACTTATACACAGTAAGAGGGAGAGACAGAGAGGTCTCCCATCCACTGATTCACTCCCCAAATGGCAGCAACAGACAGAGCTAGGCCAATCTGAAGCCAGGAGCAGGAGCTTCTTCCAGGCCTCCCACGTGGGTGTAGGTGCCCAAATATTTGGCCTGTCTTCTACTGTTTTCCCAGGCCATGGCAGAGCACTGGATCAGAAGAGGAGCAGTCAGGACTAGAATCAGTGCTCATATAGGAAGCCAGCACTGCAGGCAGGGGCTTAGCCTACTAAGCCACAGCACCAGCCCCCCTCCCTTTTTTTTTTTTTTTTTTAATTAAAGATCTTGGCCAGCGCCACTGCTCACTTGGCTAATCCTCTGCCTGCGGCGCTGGCACTCCGGGTTCTAGCCCAGGTTGGGGCGCCGTATTCTGTCCCAGTTGCTCCTCTTCCAGTCCAGCTGTCTGCTGTGGCCCAGGAGTGCAGTGGAGGATGGCCCAAGTGTTTGGGCCCTGCACCCTCATGGGAGACGAAGAGGAAGCACCTGGCTCCTGGCTTCAGTTTGGCACAGTGTGCCCGTCATAGTGGCAATTTGGGGGGTGAACCAACAGAAAAAGAAGACCGTTTTCTCTGTCTCTCTCCAACTCTGCCTATCATACACACACACAAAAAAAGATCTTATCATTTTTAGTTCACCATTAATACCACAATAGCATAAACTGTCATAAAATGTATATAGTGGTATTTGTAATAAAGAATAAACACTTGCTTTTGTGAAATTCATACTTCATATTTATCCATCAATTTATCATTTCCAAGCAATAACTAAAATTAAAATTGACTGTATAATTTTCTGAACTTAAGTTTAAATGCTTCCAGGAAAGACAGACTTATTACAATGGGGATCCATATAGGAGATGTTTGCTTTGTACATCAAGGTACAAAGGGGTTTTTTGACAGTCCTTTGAAAATATCCCCAATTCCATTGCAGAACCAGAGAAAAGTTGTGTCTGGATGGCTTTTCGGAGATTCTTGCCATCAAATCAGGTTTTACTCAGCAATTTATTCATTTAATAAATATTTTTCAGCAATTAAGGTGTACCAGGTACAATGCTAGATGCTTAGGATATGTCAACAAATAAATCAAAGAACCTGGTTCTTTATGAACCTTCTATGGTAGTTGGAAGAGATAGACATTGTGTTAAAAAGGTATATTGTGTGTTAGGAGATAACTGAGTGTGAGAAGAAAATGTCAGGCAAGATTAGGGACATGATAAGTTAGTTTCGGGTTTGAGGGGCCAAAGGCAAATCTGTACAGTAGAGTTATCCAGTTTGGCCTCACTCAGAAGGTAAAGTTAGAACAAGGACTAAACCTTGTACAGTCCAGTAGACACTGGGAGAAAATGTCTTCCAGGTGGAAAGTTCTCGGTTGGGAATCTGCTTGTCATGTTTGTGGAACAAGGAAGCCAGTGGGGCTGGAGAGAAACCAGGAGGCTTCCTCTCATTTTATTCACTGTCTTGTATCTACCTTAAAACTTTCAAGGCTGAGAGAACCATAACAGAAGACTACAAAATAGGACGTTAAACACAGAGCATTACCACGATGCGATCTCATTATTGCTGGTCATTCATGTTGTATTTCTGAACTAAGCAAAATTAGAAATGATTTATAACTAAACTCTATTTAGTCCTCACTATTGTCATGTATTCAACAAGTTATCTTTCAAGTATCAACTTACTGAAAGAATGCATGCTACTAACCTTTGTTCAGCGAATGCAAAATTTCCCCATATAAATTTAACTTTCACAAAAGTACACTGAAACACTTTGGCACTCTCTTGTGTCTTCTCTGTTCCCCTTGTTAATCTGGTTCAGCATCTTTACACGCTTTCAACTTTAAACCAATTATCCCAAAAACTTGAAACCATCCAAATTCCCAAAGTAGAAACAAATTACTTACAAAGCCAAAAAGGCAAAGTATAAGATATTATAATTGGTTTTTATATATTATCATAGGAAATTTCATAGTTAATTTTCTTTTGGAAATAATAGACAGTGATATAACATAGTTTTATCATGAATGTTAACATTTTTTATAAAGATTTAATTATCAAATTTATCTTAAAATATTTTTGCATTACTACGCAATTCATATTTAGTCTTATTCTTCTAACATAAGGATCTCTAAACTATTTGATTAATTGGTAAGGAAAATAGTTTTTTAAATTCAAATCCCCAATGCCAAGTTTTAATTCAGAGTAGAGTCTCTAAGGCACTCCTGAAAAGCCCTGGAAATATGGGGTTATAATGGAAATGCTGACGGACCACATTTATGCTGCTATAACAAAACCTGACTCGAAGATAAATGTTTCATGAATTAAGAAAAGTTAAAAAAGCTTTTCTATCCAGCTTTGTTCCCAAGATAAAAGCGAATCTACTCTTTTGTGGTATAGGGAATATGTGGGTTACTAATATTCTAGTCTGCAACAGCCTTAATCAAAGGCAATACCCAAACTGGGACATTAAAATTTGCAATATCTTCTCTGATGAATTCTTGTCAGAATTGTTTTCTTTCAAAGGATTGAGAAAATGAAAAGAAAAAAAAAGAAATATATATATAAATATAAATATATACATCATGTGACCTAACAGGCACTTCTCAAGTATCTGATTCTCCCCTACAGAAGAGCTGTGTGTCCCTGGGGAAGGAAAGGCGTGTCTCTTAATTTGTAGACATGCCACCTTATGGCTGTGTGATCTTAAACAAATTGCTTCAATTCACTGTGCTTTCTTTGCTCACTGTCTTCCGTATTAAATCTACAGCTTTGTTAGAAGAATTAATTGTGAAATGGTTGGTGTGCTGCCTAACAAAGAAACAGCTCAGCACACATAGCTCTTACTACTGGGGCCATAGTCCATTAAAAAGCTGATGACTTCCCATCAACTTTTCCACCCCTACCTATCTTTCTGCTGGGCTCCAAATCTAAATCTCCACCTCCCTAAAGAGGCCTTGGAGGCATTGGCACTGTTTCTCTGTTGCCCTCACCTTGCTCTGAACTCTGTAAGCTGGGCTCCCCGGCTCTGGTTGAATTCAGCCAGAGCAAAGAGACAGCAGGCTATGGATGAACAGAAAGGATGGACAAATGGCCACTCTGCTCCCTTGTCTGGCTGTGATTTTCCAGTGCTCCTCTCCTCTACCAAACCCTACAACTCCTGTTTTGTGCCTCTCATGCTTCATTCCCTACTGCTCTCCTTCCTCTACCTTCAGACCCCAAGACAGAAGTGTCTTCCCAATGTTGTGAGAGCCTGGCTGCAACAGTGGCATCCTTAACCCTGCCCACACTTCTGTAGACATTGAACTTGACTTTATTTAGCATGCCCTCTGTTTCCTGAGGGTGACCACTCTGATACAGAATGCGAAGGGAACCTGTCATCGGAGAAAAGAGCTTGGAAGCCATGGAGTTCTTGTCTTCACACAAGAAAGAATTCAGACTTGAGACAGAGAGCGAAGTAATAAGGTTTTATTAAGGATAGGTATCCGTCCGAATGGAAGGGACAGACAGAGTGCCCAGTCACTGGAACTGGGGGAGAGTGAGGTTACATAGTTGAATGGAGAGAATACACCTGGGCAGGCCAGGCAGCTGGCTCAGCAGAGAGCAGAAAGCCAAGTGCACAGTCTTTGTTTAGATTCCTGGTTTTTAAGGGAGTCTCTCTACCCTCCTCCTGCTCTTCTACCAGGACAAAGGATGGGGAGCCCTGGCGGAAGGGTCTGTTGGGTGAAAATGCAAAAGGATTCCTTTCCAAGTTTACCACTGAGATTGTCAGACAGGGGAAGCTTTGCACTTAGGACGCCTGCCGTAGAGGAAAGTTGTTTACCAGGCCAGGTAGAAGCGGCAGGACTGCCTGGGAGTTTATCAGGGTCTTGGCGGATGCTGGATTGCACCTGGAAAGTTATCAGGGTGACTTTCAAATGCAGATGCTGGATGCAGATACTGCACTGCTTAGGTAGTTTCCTTAGGCCCTTCTTACACATGCAGGCTAATTTCTAACTTCCTACCTAACAGAAACTTTTGAGTTATTACTTCTTAACTACCTGTCTTGACTCTCAGCAAATACATATAAACGACATCAGGCAAAAAAAAAAAAAAAAAAAAAAAAAGTTTAGGTTATCAAAAATCTGGCAATCAGAACACCTATCTCTCCCAACCCTACTGCAAACCTTCCACACATCAATTCTTTCTGTGAAATCTCCCGTAACTGTCCCTCTCCACCACTGCTACGCTGGTGCGGAACAACATCTAAGGGAGCCTGCCTACAGCAGCAGCTTCTGGATTCATCTCCATGACCCCACTTCTACCCCACATCCCATTCATTCCTCTCACAGCTACTAGAGGCAGCAATAAAACCTGAATCAGATCGTGCTGTGCTCTTGCTATCAGCCATCCCAAAAAATTACTATTGCCCTCAAAGTAAATTCACACTCCACCTGGATCCAAAGGTTCCATCTGCTTGGCCCCCCTCTCTCCCTATCTGATCCCCACTGGTTACCGCTCTCCTCCTTTCTCTTTGGCCATTCCCTTAAATGTTTCAATGCTT